AACCCAAAAAAAACAAGATATAAATCACAGTGATTCACACACTTTACTTACGGTGCCTACTGTTCGCTTGACTCAATTATCTATCTCTTCAATCTACCTGTCTATGCAATTGCGCTGGTTTTTCTCGCCAGGCTTATATACTAAAAAAGAGGGTGCCGGGAACAATCTACAGTTGCCAGGAAAATTCATGATCCTTTCAGAAACTCCAGCGCACATGCTTCCAGAATCGCGTGACTTCCGCTGTCGTAACAATATACATAGCACCTAGACATTAATATATCTGTCGTATCCCGGCAGGCCTATTGAATCTTGGTACTGATGAAAGGCCTCGTCGGCACTTGATATAGCAAATTTACAAGGACTGACATATTGTGGTATGCTATTGTTACGTATCTGCTTGTTTGTTTGTTTCCGGTAGAAATTCTTTCCGAGGATCTTAAGCGATACAAGTCCTTTCTTGATTAAACCAGTTTATTCTTCCTCGATACAACTTTTAGTACACAGAAGTTCCACAATCAGCACGTTTCTCGTCACTTTAAACTTAACAACTTTTATAATACACGCTATAAATCATAGCGATTCACAATTTCGATAACTTCGCTCTCGACGAGTGCAGAACACACACTTTACAGCTCACTGGCTCGAAACTAACAGAATAATAAATTACACGGAACTCAAAGTAACTACTGCTCTCTGTTCATTCATATCCCTGCTGGCTTTCTCTGCTAGGCTTTTATACTAACGAAGAGGGCATCTCGAACACACTCGGACTTCCCTAATCATTCGAGAAATTCATCTCGCACGCTACCAGTGTCAACGCGCTAGCAGAGACACGTGACTTCCGCTGTCGTAACACTATTCTTTGCTTTCACTCACAAGTCCTTAATTTAACAGTTTAAGGGCGATGTGTGAGTAGTAATTAGTGTATTGGGCTTAGTATTAAAAGGTCCAAGATTCAATATCCAATATTTTGCTAAGCACGCTCTGCAGTTTTAGGTGTGGTGGGGGAAGGGCTTTACAACTGTTGTGTCTTGACTGTTGTGGTGTTTTCAAATCTATGGAGATCTATGTACATCAAGAGATATACAATATTGAAATGAATAAATAATGGCTGGAATGGTCATGAATTTTACCCTTCAATAAGTTTAGAACACATCTTTATTTAGATGTATTCCAGTAAATGCAAGGGCAATGAGGGAAACAGCTGCCCCAGGGCCTGGCACTGGGATATTACAAACCTCACTAAAATGCTTATTATAATGAACTAAAATGGTTACTGCTTTTCATGGATTCATAAAGAAAATTGTCACCTAAATTTATTTTGTGCCCGGCATGGATAACGCCCCCACGGGTGAAAGGGCGAGCATGTTTGGTGGGTTGCGGATTCGAACCCGCGACCCTCAGATTGTGAGTCGAGCGCCTTATCCACCTGGACCAACGAATAGTGGGATTGACCGTCACATTAAAAGAGTAGCCCAAGAGTTGGCGGTGGGTGGTGATGACTAGCTGCCTTCCCTCTAGTCTTACACTGCTAAATTAGGGACGGCTAGCGCAGATACCCCTCGTGTAGCTTTGTGCGAAATTCCAAAACAAAAAAAAACAAATTTATTTTATGAAAAATCAGTAAAAGTTAACAAATAGAATGAAAGGAAGCCCAATGATATTTACTGACCCCGTGGCCTGGGCTGGCTCTCAACGCCCCCGAGTAAATGTTCATATATGTTCTTGCAAGCTACATACACTATAGCATTCTTGTTAAAGGGATGTTATAAGATTATAAACATGTACAAATATTTTTTTTTCGGGTAAAGGTTTCAGGATTCAGCATTTATTCTTGAATCCACTTAGTCGCAAGTTTTTGTGTATGACCCTGGAGGGAAGTCTATTCATAAAAGCAATACAGAAACCTATGCAATTAGTTTGGCTTGAGATTGAATGTTGACCATTGAAATTGTGATATACAATTCTTGTAATGATCTATTATCTCTCTCTCTGTGTACAATATCCAAACAGGACATTTGTGACCATGATCTTCCACAGGTCATTTCTCTTTGAGGCGCAAATAATTTCCAGTGTCGATACATTCATCAATTTAGATAACTCTTGACATAAGTCAACCTCTGTCTTCCACAGTCTCGCCACCTTTCAATCTGTCCATGCAGTTACGACCAGACTTTAAATTTCTTCTTTCATCATAACGTTTCCGTGAAACTTTAACTATCTCTTTCTGATGTTAGTCAGCACTTCCTCCTGCAACCTGCTCTTGACAAAATATCTTCATTTGAGATGTGACTTGTTCAACATACCTTCAAGATGCACCTTAATAACCACAACTCAATTGCTTCAATTCTTTTTTCAATACTTGGCGACATTGTCCAACATTCTAATGCATATGTCATAATTGGCATCACATAGCAACCCCAAATTCTTCCTCCTCATAGAAATTTTATTATTTGTCAGCATCATTTTCATTTTCAGAAATGCATCTTTTGTCATTCCTATTTTCCGATTTATTTGATGATCATATTTACCATCCGATGTTTATCCAGTTCCCAAGTAGTTGAATTTATTATCTATGGTACTGCAGCATTGTGATAAAATTTTCTTTGAAATTTTCTAATGTCGACATGCTCTACCTTCATCCTCAACTGTCAAACTAAACTAAGGAAGCCAGCCAGTAAGTGTGAAGACTTGCACAATTTGTATTTTTATTTGTTGACTAGTATTTATTTCTCCTTCTTGCTGTTCAGGTTTGGTTTACTCTCTGTAGTACTCTTCTGGAACTGGGTTTTGCGGAAAACTTGAAAATTTTCTGCTGGATATCAACGAACCTGAATACCACACAAGCGAGTAACTAAATAACTTAGAGAGAAGGGATCTACACAAAATATTAAAAGACATAAAGATTGATAATCAATTTGATCAGTTCTCACACCTACTCTAAAAAACTTTAGACTAAATAACTGCCTTTAACTAGGCCTGTTACAGCTTTATTCCAGACATGTGATTGGGGTTTTCTGACCAAATGGGATCCACCGCACTACATTTTCAAACCTGATTTTTGACACTTAAGATCAAGTTCTTAGCTCTTCTGGCTATGTTATTGTCAACTGACCAGTTATGGATCATTTTAGTGTTGCAACTTAAATCTTCAGACCTGTAGACTTGCCATAAACTATGGAAGGTGAAAGATGACTACAGATTGACAACTCTTGGCTAGGAATCATCATGTCAGAGGAAGTTTCTTACATCTATACCAAAAAACAACTACATTTTCTGCAACTTCAGTCTAGAAACATGACAGACAACAGCAAGTTTCTTAGACTGATACCCAAAGTTATCAGAAATTATTCCTT